TACTATCCCAGACGAATCTATTTGTCCTAACCACCAGGCATAGGTCTAGCTGTACCATCTCCAGAAATGTGCCACCAAAGAGGAATTCTTCGATTCCTTGATGTAGATGGCTTTGACCTTGTAGTTATTGGAATTGATTCTTCAACTTCAACAACTGAAGTTTCTAACTCATCTTCACTAGTATTAGCATTACTAACTACGAAGTCTTCTAATTCATCCAAATCAGAATAATCGGGCATATATTCACTTCCTATCATGGGAAAAATAAATATTGTTATCAAAATAGCTTGAATAGCAATATAATTAAAATTTTACATTGAAAAATAAAAAATTTAAAATATAATACATATTTTATTTACCAATTTCATCCACATTAGCATCTGGTTCCTTGTCTGAGTCTGTACCACTTCCATCTAGGTAATAAATTCGCCGTTTTCCATAAAACAAATCACAATCTATGCTGTGGTAATTTTTGTCACCGTCGATTCATTACATTTTGAAAAAGCAGAAATATATAATAAATATAATGTTTTTTTTATGAGTATTACACCTTTGACATAAAACTACAGTTTTATGAATGTATCCAAAAATATCAACACTAAAACTTCACTAGATTGAAAAGTATCGTAAAATGCACTGAACGCAAACGACCACTTAACCTCAAACGCACAATCGGTCAAAACACGTGCCACTTTTCAACATTTTGCCGCTAAAATGCATGACTAGCGGTATGCATTTGTACTAGTTAAGTGCGACCCTGTGGTCGACATCGTCGTCGGCTCCCAAAGCTGTATAATTTCGGTACCAGGTACGTTTTAGTTAAATGTTACGAAAACGTGGCGCTCAGCGTCATAGGGCTAGATTGCAGACAGCATGCACAGAGCACCCCCACTCTATAATCCTCTGGAGCAGGGCTTGAACCTCCTGCTGTTCAACGGAAATGCTGATTGCATTGCTGCTCAGGGTCCTTCACCCCACCCTCTGCTGCTTCTTCCTGTGTATTGACCATGAGGTACTTCCTCCAAAGCTCCCTGCACACTCATGTCCATTTTGCAATCTCTTTCTCAGAGAATCGGTCTGGGAGGGGTCTGGAAAGGCGTCGCTAAAATGCCAATCTGGATCCGGATCATGCATGATCTAAGTCCCTCTCAAAATACACGTTGAAGTCCTCGTTCCCGGTTCCTCGGTCTGTGATTTTATTTTGAGGTGGAGTATTTGCACACGTAGTCAAGTTAAGGTGGGCTTAATCCGGTAACTAATTAATTAAAAAACCGAATGTTTCTATAAGCATGAAGAGAGTCAGAGATACACAGAAGACCATGTGACGCTGGCGGCGGAGACTAGAGAGAAGCAGCTATAGTGCAAGGTAGCTAAGGATTACTGGCAATCACCCTGGCCCAGGAGAAACAATGAGGGATTCTTCTTAAACCCCTCAGAGGGAGCATGGCCCAGCAGCCATCTTGATTTCAGAGTTCTAGCCCCCTGGCTGTCAGAGATGACATCTGTTATCTGTAGCCCTTGTCATTTGTGGAGATGTGTTAGTGCAGCCCGAGGAGACCAGTGCAAACCACTACTCAGCTGGCAACGAAGACTCCACCAGGGAGGGGGGAGAAGCTGGTTGTGTGTGTGTGTGTGTGTGTGTGTGTGTGTATCATAATAATTTTCACCAATAGTCAACTAGAAGAATGAAATACCCTAAACAGCAGGCATTTGAAGAATACTTGGGGAGTAGTCATTTTAAGGACTACGGAATTGGAAAGTCGGGCAGGCGATGGACTGCTAACTGCCAGGTTGACAGTTCAAACACCTCAGTTACTTCATGGGAGAAAGATGAGGCTACCTGCTCACATGAAATGTTACAACATCTAGGACCTTATGGAGGGTAAGTGTGGCATGGAATGGCTTCTCCCGGGAACTCAAGTCTTTAGAAAAGGACAGTGTAAAGCTACGAGTGATTATTCGTGTAAAGATCAACCATGGAAGCTCGAGAACTTCTAGACAACCTAGTAGATTTCTTTCTTTCTCTCAAAATTTATTAGGAAGTTATCACCCCACTGTTCCTAAGGTGCACAGTTAATGCTCTGTGTCAATTATTATTAGACTTGCCCAGTATCTTTGAGAAAATCCAGTTCTTCGCACTCAAACTTTAAAGCACTATTTTGAAACTGTACCTAATTCCCAATACTTGAAAAATATTCCCAGCACTCTTTCCCACCGATCTTGAAATCTGAACGGACATTACCCACCTCTAGTAGGCACCGCGGAGTCCATTCCAACCCATCTGGACCGTGTGCCCAACAGAAAGAAACACAACCCTGCCCTCACCATCCTCCTGCCTCATCCTCATGCCTATGCCTCATCCCTGCGCCTAAGCCCATGGTTACAGCCGCCGTGTCAGTCCATCTCCTTGAGGGCCTTCCTCCCTTTGCTGCCCCTGCCCTTGACCAAGCCTGCCGTCCTTCTCCAGGGACTGCTCTCTCCTGACAATATCACCAGAGAGTGCTAGCCAAACTCTGGCCATCTGGGCCTCCACGGAGCACTCCAGCCGCACTTCCTGCACATAAATCGATTTGTGCCCAGGCGGTTACTCGGTAGTGATAAATGGATGAAGCTGGGCTTCTGACTATGTGGGACTGGGATTTAAATGCCTGCTCCCCCGGGAACCCCAGCACCCTGCCCGGACTGCCTTCCTCTCAGCACGCTCGGTCTTCAGAGCTGTGCAGTGGGTGCTGGTTCTTGGTGGGTGGCCCTGGACCCCTCTCTTCCCTCCGCTGGCTCCCAGGCTGCATGGGTCTAGGCAGTGGGGGTGGGGAGTGGGTGGGGTGGGGTGGGGGGGTGGGGGGGAGATGCCTCAGTGGTTACAGGCGGCTGAGATGCCTTTTGTAGGGCAGGGGCAACACACGCTGAGCTGGGGCAGTGTCTGTGTGGTCTGTGTTATAAAGGAGATCCTCCGCCCCTTGGGGACAGTCACTTTTAGTTTTTAATGTTGATTGCTGCTAAAGGAGCCCTGGTGGTATAGTGGTTACCATTGCGTCACTATTCATAAGGTCAGCAGTTTGAAACCAGAAGCTTCTCTGATCACGATAAATGAGGCTTTCTACCCCAGTAAACAAACCACAGAGGATGGTCCACCCTGTCCTCTAGGGTCTCCATGATTTGATGGCAGTGAGTTTGGATTTTGCTTCATTGCTGCCAAAGGAGGGATAGAGCATTTGGAACAGAGAGGGCTGGAGCATCCCTCACACCGTGACCAACACAGGGGGTGCTGCAGAGACACTGGTCGGGCAGTCAGGCTGCTGGGGGTTCAAATCTCAGCCCCCACCGCCAGCCTGGCTGTCGACAGACAGGTCCCCTCTCAGAGACCCAGGTCCCTCCCTCCCTCTCAGAGCTGGTTAAGAGGTGAAGCCGTCAGGGGACCTGAGGGAGTCCTCTCATTACCAGAGAGGAAGGGCGTCCACGCAGAGAGAGCCGCTGTGGGTCAGGCTGAGACACCGGCTGCAGTGCCGGCTCCCACTGAGAAAGGCCGCCCTGTGGGACCTCAGCCCTGGGCCCGCAACGTCTGTGGGATCAGGACGAAGCTCCCTTTTCCCTGCCCCACCCACGTCCGGGGCTGTGGGAAACTCAGTAGCTGTGTCTGTCCTTCTATACTTTAGGGAAACACCCATCCTTCCCCACCAATGATGGCCCTGGTGAGGAGGTCATAGTACACAGATCACCCCGGCAGCTCAGGGTGAGCGTCCCGAGATTGCGGACAGCCTGGGTTTCCATCAGCAGGAGCCCCCCTGGGGAGTAAGTGAGGTTCTTTCCACACCACGGGGCGTCCTGCAGTTGTTATGTACAGAGTGCATGCGCTGTCCACACAGAAAAGGTGAGCACACAGTGGTCTGGGTGCAGTTTGACAGTGATTTCCTATCACCCAGGGACCTCGGGGTCTGAGAGGGAGGGGCCTTCTCACCCATGGGCAATTGGTGGAAAGGGACAACGGGGGCTCCTGCTCAGTGGGTCCGTGCATGAGCTTTCATTCAGCACCTACTGCGCGCCCGGCTCTGCCAAGGACAGAGCTGCTGCACACTGGAGATTCAATAGCATGGCGTGGGTTTGGGTCCAGGCTCTATCCCTACAGTGGGCTCTGGTATCACCTGCATGAAGGCCTCCCATCTCTAAGGTTCTTGGGCATCCCTAAAGGCCCTTCAGGGCTGACACTCCAGGCACCAGGGTTTCCGAAGAAGATCCCGGGCCTCTGACAAAAATCAAACCTAAAAGAGGCTTCAGCTTGATGACCCCCCAGTGCCCAGTGGGGCTGCTCTGGGGCTGAGGGACATCTATGATGAGGGGGCCTGGCCCAGAGCCCTCTGTGCTCTTGGGGTATCTGCCCTGTATCTCAGGGGGTTTCTAAACAGTGACCATGGCCAGCTCAGCCCTCTAGGGCCCACCGCCAATCAGTCTCTCGATGACTCACTGGGTCTCCGCCTCTCAGGCTCCCCCTCCTTGGGAAGTGTTTGGCTCTGAAATAGAGATGCCCACTCCCTCCCTGCCCTGCACCCATCCTCTGCTCCTTGGAGGGGAGAGAACGGAAGCTCCATGAGGGGAGAGCTTCCCCACGCTGTTCTCACTGTTTCCGACACTGAGAGCAGAGCTGCACACAGTAGGGTCTCAGCACACACCTGTCCAGTAATGCAGACAGGAGCACGGTGCAGGGAGGAGCTGGGGCAGGAGGTGGATTGGCTGTGCCTGGAGCTCCCAGGCTGTCAGTGCCCTGCTCTGCGGGGACCAGACTGGAAAGGACCAGGCTCCGGAGCAGACTTTTCTCCTTCTGCTTCCAGCTCGGGGCCTGGAGCAAACAGCAGGACCCCATGGCCTCAGCCCCTGGTCGGTGGAAGGACTGAGGCGGGGGCCCCCGAATATGAACGCTGTGGACCAGCACCCCTGACGGCTGTTGCTCAAACTCAGAGGTTCAGTCCTGAGCAGCTGTTACATGGGGCGGGTCACCCTGTACTCACCACTCACTGTCACCTGAGTCCCAGGACCAGACTTGTGCTCCTTGTCATCAGGGCTTCCTTTGCTGAACCTCACACAGTAGTAGGTGCCGGCGTCGGCTGGGGTGATGTTACTGATGCGGATGGAAAAGTCCAAGTTGTCTCTCTTGGTGGAGTCTGAAGCGTTTCTTACTCGGGGGAAGAGGTGTTTGTCTTGGGTTCCTTTGAAATCATAGATTAGCTCGCGATTTGGGACAGTCCCCCTGAACCACTTGGTGGGCCCCAGAGGATGCAGAGAGGAGAGCTGGCAGGGCAGAGTGACCGTCTCTCCAGCGGCGACCGACACCGTCTCAGGTTGGATCACCTGCAGCTCCTCCTGGCTTGTCACTCCTGCAGGGGACACAGGGCCGTTACTCATCCTGCGGACCTGTCTGTGAGCTCCAGCGTCGGTCAGCAACAACCCACTCTGAGCAAGCCCCGCCCCGCCGTGTGCTCAGTCCCTTCGCCCCATCCTTGGGCCATCTCACACATCCTCACTACGAGCCTACACAGTAAGTTTCCAGGCAAACAGGGAAAGTGAGGCACATAAGGACAATGTGCTGGGTGGGTGTGGGCCCCGCCTGAGAGGAACCAGGATCCAGCCAGGGGCCATGCATGAGGCAGAGACTGAATCAAAGGAAGACGTTGCCTCTGGAGCCATCCGACCTGGAGTGGATCCAGGCTGGACCCTCATTCCCGTGTGAACCAGCTTCTCCGTGGGTTCTGAGTGAGTGCTTCCTTCTCTAGGAGGTGAGCTGATGCCCCCACCCCTGCTCTGTCCTGAGAAGGACCCAGGAAACACACAGAAGTCCCTGAGCACCTATCGCAATGCCAACAGGGACTGAGGGGGAGGGGCTGCTGCTAAGCTGTCAGCTCCCAGGCCTGCAGATTCCCCTGGAGGGTAGGCCCCAGGGAGCAGGATGTGAGTCCCATGGATCCTGCACCCAGTCTAGTTATCCAGGGCTCCCAGGCTTGTCAGTGGGGAGTCGTTTGGGGTACAGATCACAGGCCACTTGTGATCCCTGCCACATTAGGCAGGGATCTGGTAGAGGAGTGTGGGGGATGAGAGGCAGGATGATGACCTCATAGGAAGATGCTGATGTGAGATGGGCAGGGGCCTCAGAGAAGAGCCCAGAGCCTGACTGGGACCAAAGGTAGGGAGAGGAGAGGAGGGAGAGCTGGGAAACAGAAAGACACACCACAGTGAGAGGGAGGAACTGAGGGAAAAGAGACCCCAGAGGAAAAGAGCGAGATGTAGAAAGAGACAGGGGTAGAGAGAGGAGAGCACAGATGGAGACAGGAATGAGGTGGAGATCAAGTGCGGAATGAGTGGGAGCCTTCTGTGTAGGACACGGTGACCTGGGTCCAGCCTGCATGGCCCACTGCCCCTCAAGGTCACCTTGGCGAGTCCTGCCCCAAGCTGGCACCTCTGTCTCGCACAGCTATCAGGGATGCTGCAGATGCCCTGACTAACCCTCCAGCGCTGCTCTGGGCAGGAGAGACCTTGTGGACTTGTGTCGAGTCTGTGGGCCTGGCTCTGCCCTCCTGGTGCCCCAGAGATGGTAGACCCAGGGATCCCAATATGTCCTCACTGGGCAACCCTGTGGTGGAGGACGGACCTCATCCCCCTGCCCATCTTCCTATATCTTCTCCTCCCCAGTCTCACTTTCTCCCGCTACTCGCGGGTTCCAGCAGCAGTTTCTCTCTGTGACCTGGATGGAGGGGTTTGGGGAGCAGAGTCTCAGAGCAGCAGCCTGCTCTTCACAGGAGAGCGGAGGATCCAGGTCCACCAAGGCAGGGGTGTGGCCAGCAGCCTCCCTGGCTGGGAGTGGTGGGTCCTGTGTCCAGGTGAGAGAGGGACACAGAGAGGCACAGGGACATCTAGGTCGAGACTAGAAGCAGCCCAGTGTCATCAGAGGCAGGGATGGAGCTGCCAACATCACCGAGCCTGGAACTGAACTGTCCTGTCCTCTGCGTCGCAGCATCAGAAAGGAGACGGACAGGACATGCTGAGCTGGGGCCAGCTCAGCACCCATCTCTGGGCCTCATCAGCCATAAAGTGGGGGACAGCATCCACCCCTGGGAGTCCTGAAGTCCTCGTGGCCCAGTCAGTCCTTCTCAGTGGCTGTCACACGGGTGGTGCTGGCCAAACACTGGTTCCTGTTGCATCACCACCTTCACAGAGATGCTTTATCAAGTAGGCACCCCTCCACCACCATGTCCCTCCTCTAGCATGCAACGTCCATCTGGACTGTTATCACCCGTTGTCTAGAACAATGTCTGGCACCACAGTGAAAAACCAGCAACTCTCAGATTGATTCTGCCTCCTGGCAACCCCAGGTTTGCCAACATCGACCTGGGCACCATTCGGTTTTCAAATCCCTGACATTCTGGAAGGAGATTGCCAGGCCTTTCTTCTGAGTTACCCCCAGGGGGATTCAAACTGTCATCCTTTGAGTCAGTGTGGAGTGCTTCTCTGTGCCATTCAGGGATGCCAGGCAAACACTCTAGCCCCACCCCCACCCCCCACTGTGCAGCTATGCATGCAGGGCATGTGGTGGAAGCAACTGGAGGCAAGATGAACATGCCAGCCCCCCACCCCTCATCTCTTCCCCTGCTCCCCAACTCCTCATCCAGGTGAGGAGCTGGCATGAACTCTCTGTGCAGAGCGCACCCTGGGAGGATCGGAGCTGCACTGACAGCAGCTGGCTCACTGCAATGGTGACAAGGTGAAGGGACTGGAGGGGTGAGAATGGGAGCAGGAGCACCCGTGACGAGGGTGTAGCAGGGTTCACAGGCCTGGGTTCAAACCCTCGCTCTGACCCTCACCAGCTGTGTAACCTTGAACGAATCCAGCACCTCTTGGACCCTCAGACTTGTCATCTGTCTACCGTGTATAACCATGGGTCCCCCGGGCCATTACTGAGAATTAGCCGAGACAGTTCGCTGATCCACCCCACAGCAGGATTCAGCTGAAGGTTATTGCTCAGTGCTGCCACGTCGTTCTGATGCACAGTGACCGCGGGTCCAGCAGAACAAGCCAGTGCCCAGTCTGCACACCCTCACGAGTCTGTGATGCTCGAGCCCCTGTGGCAGCCGCTGGGCCACTGCACCCTGTCTTGTCCAAGAAAGAGTTTTCCTCTTCTCGCAGCCCCTCGACTTTACCAAGCATGTCTTTTCCCACAGAACGGTCTCTCTTGATAACATGTCCCAAGTATGTGAGGAAAGTCTTGCCACCTTTGCCTCGACGGAGCATTCTGATAGTGCTTTCTCCAAGACAGACATTTTTGTTCTAGTATATTTTCAGTGTTCTTTGTCAGCACCAGAATTCAGATGCATCAATTATCCTACTTATTCCACGTCCAACTTTCACATTACTATGAGGAGACTGAAAATATTCTGGCATGGGTCAGATGCCCCTTAGTCCTCCAAGTGACATCTTTATGTGTCAACAGTTTTAGAAGTCCTTATGTGTGATCGTGAAGTGTCATCGAGACTGGACAATGTGCATCATAAGATTCACAACAAACAGTATACAAACAAACAAAAATGCATTGGTGAGAATGGAGGGGGTTTGGAGCAGAGACCCAAAGCCCATCTATGGACAATGGAACATCCCCCCGCAGAGGGGTCGCAGGGAGGGGGCGAGTCAATCAGGGTGCAGTAGAGCACTAATGGGTCACGCAATATACCTCTGTTCCCTGGAGGCCTCCTCATGCCCGGCCCTCATACTCCCCGTGCTGCTTCCCAATCTAGGCTAGTCGGGACTGACAACGCATGGAACCCAGGAACCGGAACGGGAATAGAAATCCCAAAGGGGTGAGGGAAGGGGGAGAGAGGTGGGGAGGGAGGAGGGCACCGATCGCAATGAATGGCACATAGCCACACACCCTCATCCAGGGGGAAGAACAACAGGAACCAGAGGGGGAAGGAGACAACGGTTGGTGTGAAATTTGAAAATAATTAATAATCTACAATCTATCAAGGGGCCATGACAGGAGGGTGAGGGGAGGAGTGATGGAAAAATAAGGGAGCTGATCCCAAGGGCTCAATGGAAAGTAAATGTCTAGAAAAGAACGATGGAATATATGTATGAGTATGTTGGATACAATTGATGTCTGGATTGTAACAAGAATTGTAAGGGCCCCCAATAAAATGATTATTAAAAAAAGACAAAAAAGAAGGCGGTCTTGTGCAGCTGCTTTACTCAATGCAATGCATCATTGATCCCTTGCATTGTTGTATCTATGTTGTATCTATGAATATTGATTTTGGTTCCAAGCCAGATGCAACCCTTGACAATGTCCCTCTTTCCTCTGTTTATCATGGTGCTACTTATTAAACAAATCATGATGTTAGGTGTATATATCAAGCTATTCCCCACTGGTCCAGCTGTGAGGAGTTTGGTTGTCTTTACATTGAGCTGTGCTGTGTACTGACAGCTTTCAGAGAGGATCTTCATCCGCAAGTGCTTCGTAACCTCCTCATTCTCAGCAAGCAAGCTTGCCTTATCTGCATAGTGAAGGTTGTTAATAAGCCTTCCTGTAGTCTTGAGACTGTGTCCTTCTTCATATAATTCATCTATCTCTTTATTTGCTCAGCATGCAGACTGAATAAATATGGTCATAGGATGCTACCTTGATACACACTTTTCTGGATTTTAAACTTTAAGTGTTCTGTCTGTTTTGTTTGCACAACGGCCTCTTGGTCCATGTCCAAGTTTCACACGAACTCCATGACGTGTTCTGGAATTCCCATTCATCTCATGGCTATCATAGTTGGTTATGGTCCTCTCAGTCAAATGCTTTGCATAGTCAATAAGCTCAAGTTAACAACTTTCTAGCGTTCTCTGCTTTCAGTCAAGATCAGTCTGATGTCAACAATGATATCCCTTGTTTCATATCCTCTTGTGAACCGGGTCCGCATCTCTAGCAGCTTCCTGCCAATGCTCTGCTGTCTCCATTGTTGGAGGAGCTTCAGCAAAATTTTACTTGCATATGAGATTCGTGAGAGTGTTCTATAATTTGCACGTTCTTTGGATTACTTACTTTGAAATGGGTACACATATGAATCTCTTCCTGTAGTTGACAAAGTAGCTATTTCCCAAATTTCCTGGCACAGACACATGAGTATATCGAGTGCTTTATCAGCTTGTTGAAGCATTTCAATTGATTTTCCCATCAATTCCCAGAGCCTCGTTTTTGGTTAATACTTTCAATGCAGCACGACTTTTCCCTTCACTTCCATTGGTTGTTGACCATAAGCTACTTCTTTCTCTGGAGTATTGGCTGGTTCTTTTGGTATAGTGACCCTCTGTATTTGTGTGTGTGTGTGAAATAGAGAGAGAGACT